AAAATAAAAAGAAAGAAAGAGCAGGATATTCAATCTGTTTATGGCGGAGAGCGCTTTCCTCTTCTTTCTTTTTATAAAAAATGATGGATTTTGGAGTCCGTTGCTATTCACAAATTTGGACTTTATTCCACTAATTCTCTATAATTTTCTGATATTCTTCCTTGAAGGACCTACCGAACGGTGCATGTTACATTCAGTTTTTCTGTGAAAACATGAAACTTACATGTTGTGGGAAGTATTTTCTTTTAATTCCATCTTCATCTCCTGTCTATTATCTAGGTGTACAAAATGATTGGATCTTTTCTCACCAGAGGACTCGTGTATGTTAATTCTACCCATTATCTTTCATTTAAGTTTAACTGTCATGTTGTTTTCAGATTTTTATAATTATTTTAATTCCAATGTGATGGCAGAATGGTTTTTGGCTATGCTTATCCTGCTTATGAGTGCTATAAAACTGTTGAAAAGAATAAACCTGAAATCGAGCAACTTCTCTTTTGGTGTCAATACTGGTAGGTTATGGATTGCAATGTGTTCTACTTGATCTTTTGCTTAGAGTTTTATTTTTTAAATGTGGGTCGTCTTTCCCCTTCCTGGTTTCAGGATTTTGGTGGCTGTCTTGACAGTTTGTGAAAGAATTTGTGATGCTTTTATTTCATGGTAGGTGTTCTTAATTTGATTAAAGTGGCATTTTATTGTATTATCATTTGTTTTATTCTCACATTGTTTTCCAATCTTGCTTTTATGAAGGGTTCCAATGTACAGTGAGGCTAAGTTGGCATTCTTTATATATCTATGGTACCCCAAAACCAGGGTACGGAATTATCTTGGGAAGAAAATGGAATATCTACTCATTTAGTATTTTACTAAAATTTTGCTCCAATGGTTCTTTTCGTCTTTGATTTGTTTCAGGGCACTTCATATGTCTATGACTCCTTCTTTAGACCATATCTCGCAAAGCATGAGAATGAAATTGATCGCAGTTTGCTTGAACTGAGAACTAGAGCTGGAGATATAGCACTTTTATACTGGCAAAGAGCAGCAAGCTATAGTCAGACAAGAATTTTTGAGATCTTCCAGTATATTGCCGCACAATCAACTGCGAGGCCCCGCGCTGCTCAGGTAATCATTTGAAAGATTAAGTCCAAGACATATATTGAAGTAAATAATATCTTTATTGTTGACACTAAGACATAAAAGTTGCATCTTGTTCGAATGATCTTCTTTCCTGGACGCTGCCAGAATTTTTTGAAGTCTTGAGATGCACAACTTTCAAATAGTGTTATGGAACTTATTGACTGCAGGATATTTAAGAACAAACCATGAAAATACAATTCTAAGTTCATGCCAGCTTTTTGCTATTAGAAATATATTTAATTTTTCTTTACAGTTGCCAATGAACAGCTCATAATTTGGAGTTTGTCAGACACACTAATTTCATCCATGGATAGTTTTGAAATATTTCATTTGCACTACGTCATGTCTAACATATTTACAGAATCCATATTAGCGAATATGATCTAATGTTTTGGTGCACTATTTAAAATTCTTTATTTGTGACCATCTTCAGAGTTGCTTTTTTTGTTTTTCCTCTCAGCCACAGAAGCAGGGTCCTAAGGCTCGTCAACCTCCTAAACGCCAGCCAGCTCCTAAAGCACAGGCAGAGTCCGAAGAACCATCATCTCCTTCATCGAGTTCATCTTCAACTCAGCACCAAAATGAGGTAGTAGAAGAAGTGGGGCCTTCTCAAGCTAAAGCAGCTCCTCCTGCGACAGCTCCTAATGCTGGACCCGAAACTTCAAATCAACCTACGGCAACTGAAGATGAAGAAATGATTGAGCCAGTGCCACCTTCTGTAGATGAAGATGAAAATCCGCCCCCAAAAGAGTCAATCATGGATGAAACAATTCGGGTTACACGTGGCAGATTGAGGAAATCCCGATCTGGTCGAACACATTGAAGAACAATTTCACCCTCCCTACAGTTTTTTTAGAGGACAGAACTAGTTTTTAGTGATTAGGTGGACAATGATTGGGAAGTTGAAGTATTGTTTGTTGACAATTCTGTAAATTTGTTGCTATTTTTTTTTTTTCCCCTATTTGATTTGTTGCTTTATTTTTTCAACGTGATAGTAGATTACCCTGTCTTGGTGGGTGGCCCTCAGGATGCTACTGCCCAGCATGGTAACATGCTGGATTTTGATGCCTTTCTCGACCTTTGGCCTTAGCTCAAGGGCGATGCGGGTGTTCCATGTACAGAATTAAAATTACCAGAGAAGTGGAGCTGCCTCCCTTGATA